CTCGGCCATTGAGAGTGTACACTCTCAACGGCCGAGAGGTTCTCTCTCGGTCGTTGAGTGTGTACACCCTCAACGGCCAAGAGTGTTTCTCTCGGCCGTCAAGAGTGTAAATCCTCGACGGCCGGGAGGGTTTCTCTCGGCCGTCAAAGGTGTACATCCTTGACGGCCGGGAGGGTTTCTCTCAGCCGTCGAAGGTGTACATCCTTGACGGCTGAGAGTTTTTCTCTCGGCCGTCAAGAGTGTACACCCTCGACGGCCGGGAGGAATCATCCGGGCCATCGAGGGCTCTTTTTGGCTCGCCAACCCCCAAAACCCACTGGGTTTTGGGGCATCGACTCCGTCCCCCTCCGGGGGTTGTGTTTTTTTTCATTTGAAATTTTTGAGGATTCGACTCCCAAACCCGCTGACGGGTTTGGGGAATTGACTCTCAATACTTGGGGGATACGGGGGAATTTTGGGGGTTTTGGGGGTTTGGGAGTCGACTCCAACTTTTGGGAGTTGATTTTTTTCAAAAGCTTTGATATTCATTTTGGGGGGAGTGGCAGTGCTGAGAGAAAGAAAGATGGGGACATGACTAGAAAGATTATAAATGAAAAATATTGGAAAAACTGGCTTTCAGATGGCTTCACACAGCTGTTGAGCGGGACAGTCACCAGCCCACATTGCAGCAAAGCACCAGAATTTACTGTTTTTGGCTCCAATCTGGACCACCAACCTGGCCAAACCTTTTTTGGTTCCAATTTTTTTCATTTATAATCATTATTGCCATGTTCCATTCTTTGTTTCTCTCAGCACTCCCACTCCCCCAAAATGAATATCAAAGCTTTTGAAAAAAATCAAGCTTATTTTCTATTTTTCACAAATTTTCAAACTTTATTTTTTGCTTTTATTATTCCATATCCATTTTTTGGGAGCTATTATACACCACCTAACCAAGTCTCATGACTTCAAGTTTGTGTTTCAGAGCTCTGGAATCCAAAATAAGCAGTCACTTTTCACTGTCTACCCACTGTACATATGATAAAAAAGGTGTAAAAAGTATGTAATTTGTAATAAAAGAAAAAACTGTAAAATTTTTCCAAGTTGGTTACCCTTGAGTATACCACACCGGTCCTTTGATGAATCATTACCCGTATTTTTTACTACTGTCTCGCTGCATCATTCCCCACACTCCCAAAGGTTCATCAGGGTCCCTCAACATCCCCTCAGAATCCACAGAAAAACATGTTAAACCAATACTCCAGTTAATCAAGTTTCAGATTGAACTGATTTAGCACCACATCTTCCTTTACACTCCCAGCCGCATCATTCCCCACACTCCCAAAGGCTCATCAGGGTCCCTTAATATCCCCTCAGCGGGATCCACGGAAAAACATGCTAAATCATTACTCCAGTTAATCAAGTTTCAGAATGAACTGATTTAGCACCACATCTTCCCTTACACTCACAGCCACATCATTCCCCACACTCCCAAAGGTTCATCAGGGCCCCTTAATATCCCCTCAGCGGGATCCACGGAAAAACTTGCTAAACCAATACTCCAGTTTTCAAGTTTCAGATTGAACTG